TGGGTTGCTGGTTTGTGAGAGGAAATTTTGCTGGTTTTGGCTTTGACTCTTTTTTTTCAAACTAACAACATTCACAAACAAAAGAACCTAACTTTACCACTTTACCAAAGAAGCAAGTCTAAAATCAAGTCAAAAAAATAATAAAATAAAATAAAACGAATCATAATAAATAGAGAAAAGGAGGAGATTGTTGTTTTGGTCGTGACAATGGCATTAGGGTAATATTAATATTTGAGCTCTCATTGACCTTATGAACATATTCCAGGGATTAAATAACATCAGAAAACAGGATGGACTGGATGCTAAGTCAAATACATAAGTGTTTAATTATGCTGTATAAGCACTTCCAGCGCCCAGGAGAGTGCGCACAGGCGGCTGGAGCTTTCATTACTTAAATGCTAAACACACAGTTGGGAGAAGCCGGCATAAACGCCACAGAAAAAATACAAGCATTTTTACTGATGCCCAGAGTATTGAGTGGACTCATTTGCATAAAGCAAATAAACAAACAATCATTTTTCACACAGGAGGAAATTGACTAGAAAGCTGAGCCAAGCAGGTTATGCAATGAGATAAAAGCAGTGAGGAAAGAAACCAAGATTGTATTAATGCTGCAAAATGTTGTATCATGTTTTATAACAAAAACCCCAAAAAAGGTGATTTGTCATACGTTGAATTGAAATAAATGTTATCATAATTACTATAACTCAGATATCTAGCTTAAAGACCAGGAGTATCCACTGGCATATACAGAATGGTGATTCAAAAAGGTCATTTCTGTTTGTGGGTCTAACAAATGATGATCCGGGACATTTATCGACATTTATCAACATTCATGGACATTGGTCTCTCCCTAAGTCAGTAAGTAAGAAAGTAATGTTTATTTATATAGCGCATTTTATAGACCAAGGTCACCCAAAGCACTTAACAATGTTCAGAGTCAGATATTGTTCCAATCATTCCACACACGGTGATGACAGAAGCGAGTCACCGAACCCTAACCCATTCACTCACTCATTTACATTCATACCTATTGTGCGTGTTTTTAGTGGTAGGGGTAACCGGAGCACCCCGAGAAAACCTACGCAGACACGGGGAGAACATGCAAACTCCACTCAGAAAGGCCCTGTTCCGACTAGGATTCGAACCCAGGACCTTCTTGCTGAGAAGCGAGAGTGCTATCCACTCAGCCACCTAAAAACCATACCATGTGTTTGAACTGTTTCTCTGATCTGTTTGTTAAGTCCTCTGAGATAACTACTGTTGCCATACAAGAATACATTGAATTGAACTGAATTTTGTCTTGAGTTAAAATATTTGTTTGCGGTTCTTTTGAAAGACAAGTTAGATGTATTTCCTTGTTAATATGTTTGTCCTGTCACGGTCATTTTCTTTAGTATCCGCTGCATACAGGTGAAGGGTTAGGGTTTTGTGATTCATTACATACAGAGTGACATGTGCCCATTTTGAAAATCATGGGCGACAGTCTATTCACAAAATATTCTAATTTTCTGAGATGTTTTCTTAAGGGTTTTTACCGCTATAATCTAATTATCAACTTAAAAACAAAAAAAGGCTAGATATGTCTGTCTGTGTGTGTAATGAATCTATGTCTAGTACTTTTACATTGTACATTGAATATTATAATTTTCAGAGTTTCACTTGTTTTTTCTCTAATTAGTATCCGGCTTCCGATGCTTTTGAGAATCCTAGCCACAGGTCAGGTCAGTCTCAGTATTCTGGTCCATTGCATGTGTCTACCTCTGGTGCCCGTGTGTGTATCCTGTGTAGGCTGAACAACACGACGACACCGTGTTCTCAATAATCCGAGACAAAGACGAGCACTAAATGAATCTAAAGTTGCAGGAGGCCTCGGTGACAACAAGCTGTTTATTGTGTCTTTTTCCTCCCGTCTCTGAGCTGCAACCAAGGCCAGTCCACTCATTACGCCGTCTCCTCTCTGAATGACCACATAAAGGACGGTAGAGGGGGAAACACACAACATTCATTCTTTCTCTCCGCGCTGAAGACTCTCAACGTAACACGCACATGAATTCTGGATTCAAAAGACAAAGGTGCGCCAACAACCGCCTGCTGAATAAAATCATCATCTTTTCATTTGTCTGGCTCTTTCATCTCTCTGTTTTGCTCTGTCAATTGTTTATCAAAAGCAGCGTGGTTGCGATGGCGGTCAGCCCCGGTTGAAAGCTCCTGATTGGTTTTTAAAATTCATGACGTTAATGGTGCGTTAGCTGCAGGAGAAGGACCGAGCCCAATCTGTGGCTGCAGCGTCCATTGAAAATAGGCTGCTTCAAATAAGTGCTAAGCAGTCCTCCTTCGGAGAGCTAATTCATATTGTAATTAACCTTTCAATCACAGTTGATTAATTAGGACAGGCCCAGTCTGTAATTATGCATCTATTTTTGACCCTAATGTGCAGCCGTAGAAGAGCTGCACTTTAGGCTGCGTTCACAGAAGAATTACATCCTGAGATATCACATATCATGTTTTTGTGTGTGTGTTTTCTGTTTTGGCTTTTCTTAATGTTTAATGTGTGTATTGGTTTGATCACTGTTCAGTGTAAAGGACAGGTAACACATTTTAAGATTAATAATACCAAAGATTTGAAATTATTAAAAACAAAGATTTCATTTCATTAAAATAAAAACAAAAACAGAAGAAAAGCAAACAATATTTTTACATTTAAAAAATACAAAATGTCTTCCCCTTAATCCAGAAATGGATTTGCCCATACAGATTTTAAGGAGGATAATGTTCTTAGGGCCAGGTCACATCGTGCTACTACCACTTCAATCAAATTTGACTCTTTAAATGGTTCAACAACTTATTCAACATCATTTTTATATTTTTGTGAAGAACAAAAGCTCAGTCAAAATCTGCATCGGACTGGACGAGTCCCAACCATAACTCATCATAATCCAAAGTATGTAAACAAACAATAATAATTATATGAAGAATGACATCAAGCCTAGACCTGGACTATATCTGTTAAAAAAGTGTATATTTATGTATGTTTGGAGAGATGGACAGTGGGGCCGATCCGACTGCTCAGAGGGCCTGATTTTGACCCCAGGCCATCAGTCGAAAACACCTGCGCTACACGTTAAATTTATATAATTACAGATGTTTTTGTGGTCAACAATATGAATTCGTACATTTGCTCAGCTTCTCTTCGATGAAAAGTTGAAGGATCATGTAGTAATATTAAAACTTCACATATTGACAAAAAAACAACCCATGTAAACATCGTATTATTCTTAAAGCCTCTTATGGCATTCATCTTGACAGAGCCGGTGTGAAGGAGAGGGCCTTTGATGTTACCGTCCTCAACAAAAACCTGACATTAATAATTCAGAGCGGCTGTAGGATAGCTTTATTTTGTGTCCACTGAGACCACGGCTTTTTTCATGAAAGATTGAGAGAAAATATGAAAGTTGAGGCTAGCAACAGTAGCTGCATCTCCGCTGGGTCAAGCCACAGCTACAGTCGCTATAGCGTCGCCTGCTTGTCATTCCTATGGTCTTCTTCGGGCTCTTTTTCTCAGTATTGTCGCACATATATATTCTTGCCCCAGCCCCTACACACACACACACACACACACACTCTCCATAACAGTGCGAGGTGGATCCGCTCATGCATCAGAATCTACCATCAAATATTTATGGCGGAGCAGCAGTGATTTTGACCGTGTACTCATGCTTTTGACAGCACCAGCCTGCTGCAATACATACTGAAGCGAAACAGGACAATCCAATATGGCTGTTTTCTTCAACACTTCAAACAGACCAACAGTACAATAGGTTCCATCCAACAACACAAAAAGCAGGTGAGCACTAAGCCTTCACACTCCATAGCTTTAGCTAAAAAGGTCTATTGTCAAAGTCATTGCATTTTCTCATACATTAAGTTTTAAATCAGAGCATTTATCGATTATTATTATACTTTCTGTTCATTTTAACCATCAATATCAGAAATGGGTCTGCTGACTTTCTACAGCAAAACACAAAAGCCATATAAGGATAATATGACATTGTCTGGAATTGTATGAAATTATGGTATTGTCCAAAAAAACACATACTTACTTATTTTTCAACTTAAAATATGAAACTAATAAATGCTATGGATTTGTTACATGCAATGTGACATATGCCAATTTGATGATTATGGCTTACAGTCCATTTTCAACCAAATCGAATTGTTTTATGTTGTGTTTGTTGCTGATGCAGGAGGGTCCAAGGACAGTGGTTATTTTGATCCAGGACAATCAACATTAATGTACATTTATGGACATTGGTCTCTGCCCCTATGGACCAATGGCTCTATGTGTTTTTATCATTGCATTTCTTGTGTTTTGAACGATTTGATCTGTGTGGGGATTTCAAGGGTTTTGTGAAGTCCTCCAAGATAAATGCAGTTGTGATTTAGGGCTATGCAAGAATAATATATTATAAATCGCATCTCACTTTGATTGTTATGAGTCTGCCAAATATTAGCTTCTCGTTTTAAGTTGAATAACAGAAGAAAAAAGACTTTTAACCGATATCTTTTCAAAGTTTCACCTGTAAATTGCTTGCATTGACTACTTTGCTAACCTCCACTAACAACTTTTTGGACAACACTTTGACGAGGGATATCTACATTGACTAATACACATAAACCTTTCTCAGTTTCTTCCAATCATGTCTTTCATATCATGAGTGAACGTGAAATACTCGTCGTGGCATCAGTGGCTCCTATCAGCAGAACTTTGAAACTCCTGCTGCCTCAGAGCCGCTCTCCTGTCTACATGATTCAGCGGCTGATGCGTGGTGCTCTGACATGTGGCTCTGTCGTCTGCCTCAGCTCGCAGCCACGCGCCGCAGTAACCTCCAGTAAATAAGTGCGCCGCATGGATCAGGAGACGCGACTTCATGCTCGAGCAGGCCCATTTAAAATGCTACCAAAACACCGTCCCAGATTCTGCCCTCAGTCAAATGACATCAAGTGCTCACTCGCAGGTCCCTGAACGCCCCTATGGAGGAAGGGAAATCAGCCAGCGGGCAGCACCAGCGCAATCAGACAGATAAGCAACCCCATTTGCTAACTTGTTCTGGTGCCTTATGCCATCACGCTGTGCCAATTGATTCCAACAAGGAGGGTAACTAGGTCAATGATGCCACATAAACCTTTCCACTTTACCCCTTGCTGGACTCGAAATGGGAGTTGGCTGCGTATAGGAGGAACACCGTGATTCAATATGACAGTTATCAACGTCCTCCGGCGAGTAGGAGGGCAAAAAACAGCACGGCAACAGTAATGGCTGACTACAAGACGATACAGGTACAACATGCACACACAGCAGAAAACGTTCACTATGGAGACAAGTGTAGCAGAGTTTGCCAGTTTTTTTTTCTAATGAGGAAACATCTTGAAGTCTTACCTGAGTTGAGTGAGACAGTGTCCTTTTCCCATGACACAACAACGACGTAGGCCTCCACAGAAGACGGGATAATGCACTTAAAGACAGCCACACTGCCTCTCATGGCCTTCTGATCGGCCACTCGGACTGTGTAGGGCTCTCGCGAAACTAGACACAAACAAAAGAGACCAAACTGAGGCAGTGCTCAGACTGGATTTGGTTCTGATTTGATCCTGAATTCGTCCCAGTCCCTTGTTTAGTCCCAGTAATGGTACAATAATATGAGGGGTGTGTAGGTGTCCAACAATGACCACTAATAATTATTCTATATTATTTCTTTCATTTTTCATAAAAACATAACAACATTAAAAAAAACATAAAAAAGGACCACAAATAATCATAATACTTTAATTTTAATGCTGTATCTCTCATTAGGGAAAATAGTATTGGGTAGAAAATAATCATGGTTTAGCAGATGGCTGCTTGTGTATTAAAGTAGCAGTATGTAAGAATTTCATGTCAAGTCATCATTAAATGGCCCTAATCTGTCAAAAGGTAATAAATCGTGATCTTTTTTAATAATTCTTTGACTGTTAACAGTAGTTCAGAGATATTCAAATTTCAAAATTAATTTTAGAGCCCCTAAATCTTGTTATTGTTTTCATTTTGATGCCACGCCCTCCACCGTTTCACCAATCAGAAAATCTGTGATCCAGGTTGCAAGAACTCACCGCGCCTAATCTTAGGTAAAGTACCATGTGTCATAGGACTAAAAAAGGTCTTGTTATGATTCTCAAATAATTAATAACTCTGTCTATTCAGCTGTTATGGTCCCAGCTGGATTCGTCTGCATATCTGGCAACCTGAGTCAGGGAGAGTGGGAGAGGCTGCAGTACCACTTTTGGCCAGATCTTTACATTTTGCTCCTTTAATGTCTTAATTTTGGCAAACCCTGTTTTATTTACACATTTTACAGTCATTGAATATATCCCTAAATATGACTATAGCTTGTAACCACATGGCTTTCCCTCCATTCCTCCTCCTGGTCACTCACCAGCTTTGATGTGGACATCCTGGCTCCGGATCTTGCCGCTGGGGTTCTCTGCGGTGCAGTAGTACGTGTTGTCATGGATCAGTTTGCTGAAGCTGGATGGCAGGAAGTTGAAGATCTGCAGGGTTCCGTTGGGGTGCACGTGTCGGATGCCCGGCACATCGTAGATCTCCTCTCCAGTGGCCAAGTACCAGCGCAGTGAGGCAGGGGGCGCCCCACTGGCCGGACAGGCCACCGACGTCCCTGTGGTGCTGGCAAATACTACCTCTTGCACAGATGCATTGACAAAGTATAAACTGGAATGTAGGTCCTCACTGAAAACTGAAAGAGAAAAAAAACAGAAGCAAATTAGTGAGAGTAAACAGTAGAATAGAAGCTTTGACTCATCACATCCTCAGCTCTGAAAACATTTGCATTGAGAGTGTTCAGCTGGCTGGTCCGTCACTGCTTGTCTTATATGTATTCCTGATTGCCATGCTTCATCCCATACTGTCCACCATTCCAGGCAAAACAACAGCTACATCTTCATGGAGAAGAGTATGTTTTAGACTGTCTCACAAAAAAGCCCATAGTTCTCATTTATATATAATAAAGAAAAATGCGATCCTTTTCATACCACAGGTGATTCTGTGCCTGTTTGTTTTGCCATCTGATTCTAGCTCCCCATTCAAGCTTGTAATTTTCCATCTGCTTATTACGAGTCGTTTTGATTCATCCCTTTCTCCCTACAGTGGGACTTATTAACATAAACTACTATCAATTATGAAAGAAGGTCAGATGCTGTAATCGCGTTCAAGTATAATTTAAGCCATCATCATCACAGTGAAGTGACTCGCACTAAATGCTGTTAGTGCACGAACATCTCCGGAGAGTAAAGGGGTTATAAATGTCAATGTTGTACCAATTAGCTTTTAATGCTAGAAAATCAGGCCCATTCAGATCTGTGTGAAATGAATTAGTAATTTTAGGAGGAATCATGTTTTTGCACTGGAGGCAGAAATAAGCCGAACATGCAAAAACAGTGTTGCTTGGCATCCTGACGTGCACCAAAGCCCGCAGGCTGTGCACTAAATGGCTCACAGTGGCACTGGCAGCTGGCTCAAAACCTCCCTGGGGAGAAAACATTTTAGCACTTCATAAATTCCTAACAAGGTTTCAAATTACAGACATTTCCATCCTTTTCTCTGCTCCAGTGGCAATACACCAGCAATCAGACCCTCTGAAGGACCTGGGCACATACAGTATATATATAAATATATATATATATATATATATTGCACATGTACGTGACGTTCTTGTACTTACACTTGTTATTTTACGAGCAGATGCAAATCTGAATGAATTTAAAAGATTCCCTTCCATTGGTGGTGTTGTGTTCATTATTAGTTGATACCATTCATTCATTCCTTCATTTTCAACCGCTTAGGCCATTTCTGGGTCGGTGGGACGGCAATTAAAGATACCACCCACCACTGATACCAATGGATTCAGTTGATATCAATGAATTCTCAAAAATCAGAACACATGTGTTTATACTAAAGCCTGAAAATATTAACGAACGTAGTCACACCTATCTCCGGTGATGAAACTAATGTGCCAACACTGTTGCCCTGTGGGCTTTTTCAAAATAGTCTTGGGGGCGGGAAAATGTGATAAAACGCAATTTGCGCATGAACCCCATTCATTTAAAGAATGCATTCAGTCTACAGCAGCTAAACTAGACTGGTCCAAAAAAAATACTCCCCTCAGCATTGACACACATCTTGGACCATCCTGTAAAGAGGTTTTCCAGAGGAAAGATGCCATACAAAAGCATTGGGTAATTCTCTTTCCGGGTACACCCCCACCAGCCCGGAGTGGTATTGCAGCATGTCAGCGCACGTGCTCATGGACCTTTTGGAGCCGGGCCCCTCCCACACTGGATTATACTGAATATATGTATCAACATTGTTTTTATATCTGTCCTGATATACCGGGAGATTACATTGAACAAGGAAAATCCTATAAATGTAGTTCAATCTTTATATGATGTTTAATTAATAATTTACCAATACTAATATGACCACGGAGATTGAAACGGTCAGACAAGTTTCAGAACCGGCCAGTAAACAGGCTTTTTAGTGAATAAACGCTAGCTTTTCAGTCTCTTTCAGCACAAATAAGTCACTATTGGAAGGAAGTCGTCTTGATTATGAAGTTGAATCCAGATATTTTAGTTTGCTGTGTTTTTATTGTGTGATTGCTGTGTGATTTTAAATTGCGTGGGTCATAATAAGTTACTCTTATTTCCCATTAGACATATTTCTACCCAGCTGAAGCCTTCTTCTTATAGAGACACTTTGGGCCAATGATGCTTCCAAATGCAATGAGATGTTGCTCTGAGCTGTGAGCAGGTAGAGTATGTGGCACCAGCCCAGATGAAAATAATACATCAAAGTCATATTAAATTCAGATTTTTTTCAGCAGCTGGCACAGGCAGTATCAATCTTCCCAGTGTGGAGAATACAGGCTGATGCCATACATGTTTCTTACCCATATGTGCATGAGCGTGGCATAGTCCTAGCATGGGAAGTGTCTCCTTGATTAGAAATATCAGCTCGTCTTTAGAACTGTATTATGGATGACCAATTGTTTAGGTTCAGGTATAGATTTGACGCTACAATACTATCCATCCGTCCTGCTCCTAGTGGATGGACACCTGAATTTCTCCAATGGGGAACAATAAAGTATCAATCTATCTATTTTCTTCCCCTTTGTCCATTTCTGGGTCGGGGGTGGCAGTCAGATCTATACCCAGTACACTTAGCACCAGCCCCTTACTGATCCTCTGCAGGTGGTGAGTCCACAATACGATGGCTGTTCTGTCACTGACATCACAGCCTTGATCTTTCAGCGGGGGCTACAGGCAAAGAGTTGTTAAGTGTCTTGCCCAAGGTCGCAACGACAGCACAGATGGGAGTCGGTGGAGAAGGTCTCGAACCCAGGAGGCACCGTCGTCACTAACTACAATACTAACATTGTCTAAAATATAATACAAATGCATGTATTTCTCACATTGTCTAATTTGAATACTAATTAGACAATACTGACTGAAGACTAGAACATGTCTTCAGCAAAGGCATCTTAAGGCTTTCGCTGGATGCTGACGGTGGTGGTGTCTGAAAAGGAGCAGACTAAAGGAATGGGAGGATGATTGGAGACGGCTGCTCCACGATACAAGCATTGGAGAAATTGGATTAGGATTTATGTCATGGATGTTTTGATTTCTTTACAAGAGGAAAAGTATCTGGAGGAGCTCTAGATTTAGACAAAAAGGACTCAAAAGTTAATAAATTAGGAGATGGACAGGCTGCACTAGTGTTTTCACTGATTGAAGAAGACGCAGGTGGAAGAGTCCACACTGAGCCCATGACCAAGAGCCGAGCAGAGTGTTCATGAACTCTTTAAAGGTAAATGAAATGACAGACTTCTGAAATGCATTACAAACTGTACGTAGTAATGCACTGAGAGGAGAGGAGCCAATAATGTTGCAAAACTAGGATTGGATTCATGTGGTTTCATGGCTGCAGCTCACATTTCTATGGATTATTAACTTTGATGAATCGAGTGATCTATTAAACTGTTTTACATCATTAACATAATTCATATATGTTATAGGATGTAAGGTTTAGAATGTAAATGATAATATGTATATAAACAAAAGCCTTAATCAGTTCTATGCACTTTCACAGTTTAATTGAGGCGGCTGAATTGTGATTTCAACTTTTTCATAATCGATTTATAAGATTAACTCGATAAAACCGTTTCAACTCCAGCTACAACAGTGTGCACAAAACTACTTCAACAGATCAATATTCCCCCTAAAATATGGTACAATAGATGTATGAATATCTCAACCTTATTATAGGTATAAAGTGCATATTTTATTCACAATAACGCTGTGACAATAATAATGTGAGATCAATATTATTAGAGAAATTAAATACTGTACCATATGTTTTTAGAGACGTTTTACTTCTCATTTTGTTTTTCTTTTCTTGATTTACATTGTACATACTATTATATGGCTTCTCTCTTATCATGTATGTAGATTGATCTATGTATTTATTGGTGCACACTGGGGTAGTCTTGCACAGTTTTTCCAATGTGGTTTTACTGCAAATGGCAAATAAATGAATCTGAATCTATTTGTAAATGAATGTGTTTTAATGAACAGCCAGATGAATGTCCTGGATTGTAGCCTTGGAATGATTTCCATTCATCGTCCCATTCACCCTGGACTATGCTTTCAGTGGTAGGGGAAACAGGAGCACCCGGAGGAAACCTACGCAGACTCGTGGAGAACATGCACACTCCACTCAGAAAGCCCCCGTCTGGGCAAGGAATCAAACTGAGGACGTTCTTGCAGAGAAGCACAAGCACTAACCGACATTTAAGTATGAATATAAATATATTTGAGACTAATTCGAACACATAATGTGACAAGTTTATTTCTTCTGTGTGAGATCAACAAAGTCTATCTTATCTTAATGTTTTGTAAACCCAGAGGGATTCGAGATCTGTGATTGTTTGATAAGTATAGCAGTAACCAGAGTTTTCAGAACCCCACAAGACACAACAACACTCAGGTAGATATATACAGTGCCTTGCGAAAGTATTCGGCCCCCTTGAACCTTCCAACATTTTGCCACATTTCAGGCTTCAAACATAAAGATATGAAATTTTAATTTTTTGTCATGAATCAACAACAAGTGGGACACAATCGTGAAGTGGAACGAAATTTATTGGATAATTTGAACTTTTTTAACAAATAAAAAACTGAAAAGTGGGGCGTGTAATATTATTCGGCCCCTTTACTTTCAGTGCAGCAAACTCACTCCAGAAGTTCAGTGAGGATCTTTGAATGATCCAATGTTTTCCTAAATGACTGATGATGATAAATAGAATGCACCTGTGTGTAATCAAGTCTCCGTATAAATGCACCTGCTCTTTGATAGTCTCAGGGTTCCGTTTAAAGCGCAGAGAGAACCATGAAGACAAAGGAACACATCAGGCAGGTCCGAGATACTGTTGTGGAGAAGTTTAAAGCCGGATTTGGATACAAAAAGATTTCCCAAGCTTTAAACATCTCAAGGAGCACTGTGCAAGCAATTATATTGAAATGGAAGGAGTATCAGACTACTTCAAATCTACCAAGACCCCGGCCGTCCCTCCAAACTTTCATCTCAAACAAGGAGAAGACTGATCAGAGATGCAGCCAAGAGGCCCATGATCACTCTGGATGAACTGCAGATAACTACAGCTGAGGTGGGAGAGTCTGT